GCCAGGAATTGAACCCAGGTCCTCAGCAAGAGCAACCAGTGCTCTTAACTGCTGAGCCATTTCTTCATCCCTCGTCTTAAAGGAGTGTATGTCCTCAAATAGAGGACCAGGACTAGGTTAGATTACTTCTTGGTCCAGCCCACACTCTTCCTGGGCCGTCTGGACACATCTGTGATGAGTTATTGGGGACTCTTCTGCCCAGTGAGGGGGTGCTGTAGCACAGCAGAAGGGAGGTGCTCCAGTTTTGGAGCTGCTGGACCTTGGCTGAATCCTGCATCCTGGCCACGACCTCCCCTGCCTGACCCCTTCTCTGAGATTGCTGTTTTTTCCTCTGGTTAATCTGGCCCCTTCTCTGAGATTGCTGTGTTTTCCTCTGGTTAATCTGCTTGTGCAACCAGGGGCTTCTTGCCAGGCATCCTCTCACAGTACCATTGCATTGAAACCCTTTGTGGAGATCCCTGATGCATCCCCATGATGCCCAAGGAAGGCAGGGCAACCTGGAAGTCCAACTATTCGCAACTTTTGGATGACAACTCAAAACGTTTTCACTGTGGGAGCAGACAGTTTGGGCTCCCGGTAAGCCTGCGGACCTGCATGTCCCTTTGAGGGAAGGCTGTGGTGTCAACCGGCAACAACACCATGCTGTGCAAGGCCACCAGGAACATCTGGAAACCAACTCAGCTGTGGAGGAACTGGCCACACATCCAGAGGACATGGGCTTGGTGTTCACAAAGAGGACCTCACTGAGGTCAGGGACCTGCTGCTGGCCAACAAGGTGCCATCTGCAGCCCACGCTGGTGCCATCACCCCATGTAAGGTCACCGTAGCACCTCAGAACTTTCTTCTAGGCTTTAGGCATCACACTAAAATCCCAGGGTACCACTGACATTCCGAGAGATGTGCAGCTGGTGAAGACCAGAGGTGAAGGAGGTGGGAGCCAGTGAAGTCACGCTGCTGCACTCGGTCAAGATCTCCCACTTCTCCTTTGGGATGATCACTCAGCAGGTGTTCGACACTGGCAGCATCTACAGCCCCAGAGTGCTTGACATCACCAAGCTACTCTGCACGTGCTTCCTGGAGGCTGTTCAGAGCGTTGACAGTGTTTGCAGACTGGTTACCCAGTCATTGCCTCAGAACCATATTCTCTCATCAATGCATACTACTGGGTCCTGGCTTTGCTGACACAGAGGACACCTTCCCACTTGCTGAAAAGGTCCCGCCAAGACTTCTTAGCTGACCCATCTGCCCCTGTGGCTACTGCCACCACGGCTGTTCCTGCTGCTGCTGTGGCCTCAGCCAAGGAAGAGTCGGAGGAATCAGATTTCGTCTCTTCTCCAAAGCAGCCAACTCAGTCAGCTTTCTATGAGAAGCATGGAGAAAAAGGCTTACTTCTCTTCAAAAAAAAAAAAAAAAAAAAAAAAAAAAAAAATTCCTATAGTGATTGAGGAAAAATGATAGTCGTCTTCTACAGTCCTAAGGTAGGCTGGATGATTCTTGACATCCCACCTCAGGCCTCAAGGGACACTTGTCAACAGGAAATGGCTGTTCCAGTGGCTGGTGGACTTTGGCTTGATGGGCAATCTTTGTTTTGTCTGGTTCAGCACAAGAATCTTGGCACACGCCTTTAATCCCAGCACTCAGGAGGCAGAGCCAGGCGGATCTCTGTGAGTTCGAGGCCAGCCTGGGCTATAGAGCGAGATCCAGGAAAGGCGCAAAGCTACACCTGTCTCGAAAAACAAAAACAAAAAACAAACAAACAAAAGAATCTTGGGACCTTTAAAAGAACTCAAGCCCGTAGGTCATCTTGACCAGCGATAAAATGCCAAAAAAACAAACAAAAGAAGGATCTAGTGATGTCTGTGAAGCGCTTGGCACAGCATCAGAGCCACAGTAAGTACCGTAGAGAGCGGGAGTTATCTGTGCCATTGTGACTCTCCCTGGCATGTCCAGCAGCTTCCCTCAGCTCACACAAGCCTTAAAACACTGCCCCCGTATCTGGCTAAATTGGAGGTCTGAATATTCCTTGCAGCCTTCTCTACTTAACAAGATATAATCCCACGATCAGCACGTGAAGTGTCCCTGACCATGCTGTTGAGAGGCTGGAATTAACAGTGGTGGCGGCTCTGTTCCTGGCCGTGAGCGGAGAGGATCCTGTCCTTTTACTCCTGCAAAAGCCTGTGTAATGTAGACCTTTCTGTGTTCTCCTGAGGACCTCCAGCCTCCAATCTCCCGTCTTCTGAAGTCCTTCCTCCCGAACCCCAGCCCCCACAGAGCTGACAGGTTCACTTCCCAGGGTGTCCTTGCAGCTGGCCGTCCTGGAGATGGGATTCCATGTCCCATCCACTGCCCACTTCCGGTAGCAGGTGTAGGCCCATTCTGTGGGGGCCTGGAAGCTCTGAGAGCAGCTGGAGACCAGAAATGAGTTCTGGCTGCAGGCAAGTGCTGCTGTACTTGAAGATGATGTATTCTAGAGCTGACATAGTCCAACCCCAAAGTGTCCCCTTCAGCTGAGCAAAAACATACCCCTATGGGGACCCAACGCTGCCATGGAGGAACAAAGGCGTCTCAGTTCTCCGAGCGCCAGAGTCTGCCTACAGCCTCAACACACATGGCCCACTTGGGAGAGGATACGGCCATGTGACTCGCAAGCCTGGAGACAAGGTCACCTTTGTCCAGCCTTTCCCCTGCATGGGAAAAGCCTTTGACTGCAGGACAAAGGATGGGACTGGAGCCGCCCTGGTGATGGATCAGAGGCTGTGGGGATGTGTGACACATCAGGTCAAGGTCAGGTGGCCCCAAACTCTACTCAAATGGGCTTGGGGGTCTCTTCCTGTTGTCTCATAACCCAAAGTGGGTTCTTTGGGCAGGAGAGTAGCATATTCTGGTCTCATTTATTTATCACTCTGTTGTTGCCCAGTGTGTCTGAAATCTATCAGCAAGGCTGCCCCACATGTTCTCACCAGCCATTTCCTGCCATTACAAATATTCTCATCACGGAAGGACAGTGGTTCTCAGAAAACAGGAAAGCTCAGAAAAGATAAACACTCCAGCTGAGCTGGCCTTCCAGGGTGTGGTCACCACAAAGGTGGCAGAAGTGTACCCACTGGGGCAGAATCAGGAGAGGGCACAGATTCTAGAGAAGTCTCTGGGAACACCTGCCGTGTTGCTCACATCGTACCACACTCCTCTGTCCTGGGATGCGTCTCAGGCTGGAAGGCTCTGCAGCTGAGTAACAAACGACCCCTGCCCCATTGGTAGACAGTGTGGGGGCTACAACTTGCACAGCTGGCTGTGTGGGTAATTCCTTCCAGAACTGACTGTAGTAATAAGTTCCCAAATAGATGAAGCAGTGGTCAGACATGATGGGCACTTCCCAGGGCAAGCTGGGATGACAGGTCTGGGACTGGGCTAGGGTCTTGCATTTTGACCAGGGGTCCTGGACACCATTCTGATGAATAGCCACCTTTCAGGTGGTAGTGGGGTTCTTTGGCTGGACTGGCCTGTGCCCCAGGAAAACTTTGGTGGGCCAGGGAGACTCACTCCAGTCAAATCAACTCCTGAGAATCTAGAGTTGGGACTCAAAGGAGCAGCAAGCCTTCAGGCAGTCCACCTCAACAGGCAGCTGGCTTTGCTGTAGGCTCCTTGGCTTATGGGAAAGCCCTGACCCATCTTGGTCCCTTTTCAGTCCTCTCTCCTGCCTCAGTGTCCTAACACTGTCCCCGCAGCTTTCTGGGGCCACCTCCCACACTCATCCAAGGATATTAGGGTATTAGTACAGAAAGTGCTCTTCAGACCAGAGTCTTGCGGGCTCTCAGGCCGTCTGTCCAATGCCCAGTAGCCCTGCCTTGATGGCCCACACTGACATCACTGGACTCCGACCATGTAACACTCATCAGGGTTTTATGAGACCTGTGACTTAACTGTCTTTATCACAGGGTGGCTCTTCTTCCTGCCCAGACACCAAGCTCACACACCTGTTTTCTTAACCCCTAGGTATATTCTAGAATAAAAGCAGCAGTTACCATTTAACTAATGATGTGCAGCAGGTAATGAGACCTACAACCCAATGCACTGGGCACAGAGGCCCCATGGTAAGAGGGGTTTGAATGGGACCTGAGCTCTCAGGTCTAAGCAGGTGCCCTGACCTATGGGCGTGGTCAACCTTCCTGCCTCGTGCTGGGGTGGGGCCTCCTCACGCCCTGACGTCTCTTGCCTGGATCTGCACCTTCAGCCTGCCTTTGGCCTCTTCACTCTAATCTGACGAGGAGCTCTGTCTAAGCTGGGGGTCTGATGTTACTGGTGGAGCCTCTCAAAGTCCCCTGCTTCCCTCTTCCTGGCCCCAGCTGGAGGACGGGAAGAGCCGAACCCTGGCCGGCTGACTACAGTTCTGTGCTCCAACTACCAACCCACACTGCTGCACCGAGACTTCTTTTCTTTGCTGGCACAAGAGGGACCATGGCAAATGATTGCCTACTTAAGGACAGGGTTGAAAAGGCAGGGGAGTCCAGTTACTGGGGAGGCTGAGATGGGAGGAACACTCAAACCTAGGAGTTTGTGGCCAACCTGAGCAGCACAAAAAAACCAAACCAGCAGCAGAGAGAATGGGGGCAGAGGAGTGGAGAGAAGCACAGGTTACTCTGGAGGCAGCCCGGTTCTTCCTGGGATAGTTACATAGTCTCTCCATCAGGCTTCCATCGTCTGGGTGACGGCTATTTCCAGGTGGGGAAGTGGAGGTTGGGTACCACAGTGAGTAGCTTGAGGCAATCAGACTGCATGTGGAGTTGATCTGGAATCCTGGTCTGTAGAGCTCGCCAGCTCTTCCTCAGCTGTGTCAAGCAATGACAAGACCGTGAAATCCAGAGACCACCAGGAGAAAGGCAGCTGAGGCCAGGCCCAGTGCCTGGGAGGGCACTGCATACTTTGCTGTGGGCCTGACTCCTGGGATGCCCCTGTAAAAACGACAGCCTAGGGCCCACCACTGTTTCTACAACAATGAGAATATTTATTTTCTTCAAACAGTAAAAATAACATTTTTCTCTCTTTTGTAAAAGTTAAGTACCATCACATTCCATTTTCTTAAATAACAAAATCCTAAAAATATATATTAAATTGTATACAGTGTGTCACACTTCATTTTATATTTTAAAATACATGATGTTTCTATTTTATTCTCAAAGTTGCATATTAAGAGCATATTTACAAATAAAGCCTGCTGTCCAAAGTCAGATCCCTGCTGGAGGGTGAGTTTGGAAAGGGAAGGGTCTTGGTGCCACGAGGGTGGCAGGGATGGCAGCTTCCTGTGCGGGCAAGAAAGGATCCCTTGCATACATACTTCCCTCTGACAAGAGAAATTCACCTCCCACTGTCCCCCTCACCCACTCAGCCTCAGCCAGTGTGCTCAGCTCCAACACGGCAAGACAGGAGCCTGTGTGAAGCCTGGGTTCTGTTGGCAGACAGGGTGGGGGTGTGGCTGGCAGGTCTGACAAGTGCCCCCACCCTCCGACCAGAGCAGCTGGGCTGAGAGCGGCCTGGAGGTAGGGTGGGGACAGTAAACAAAGGCGGCAGGAGGGGACAAGTGGAGGGTTGACAGTTCCCAAGGCAGTACCCAAAGTAGACATCAGACACCAAACAGGAGATTCCAAACCCCAGAGGAGCCCCAGAGGTAACCATGGAGGACTGTGGAGTGAGGAGCTGGCCTAGGAGACCTAGTGTGGGTCCTGCAGCTGGGTCAGAGTCTGGGAGGCCATCCGCTTCTAAGTGCTCTTGAAGGTTAAGTGTGGACTGTCCCCGAGGTTGGCAGCAGCTGTGCATGTCCTGTGGTGTCAGGCAGTGGCTGATGGAGAAGGTCAGGTGGGGTCCCGCCTGGGCTGACACAGGGACATGGGGTGGCACCTGGCCCAGGCACATCCCATGGGCTGGCTCAGGGGCCAGGACAGCTGCACCTGCCAGAGCTTTGATCTTCGAGAGCTTTTGGCTGAGGAGTCTGAAGCCAGAGCCCACATTTTGAGAAGTCTGGTCACCTTGCTCACTCCAGGCGGCCTCAGCCCTGTCCTTGCTGACGGGAGAGGCACAGGCTTCTTTCCTACTCTGTGTCTACTTTTTAAGCAGTGAGACCAGTGGAGAAGAACACAGGCGTCTGTGCCTACATCTCTGAGGGGCCAAGCACAGTCTTTCCTGTTGCTGTTCTTCTCAGGAAACCTCCGCCCACCTCAACTCAAAAGCCCCCTGCCCCCAGCACACTCAGTGCCCTGGCCGCTCACCTCTCTGTTTGCCAGTCGACTGGTAAACACACTGCTCCAGGTTCTAACAGACCGTGGCTGCCATTTCTGGAGGTTTGGCCTGGGTGATTACAGCCCTTCCCACTGCCCCACGCTGTTGTAAGGTGGGTTTGTGTTTCCTGGGGCTGCTCCCCACAGAGGAGGTGGTGGCTGGAACGCTGGGCTGTGCCTAGACCAGCAGCAAGAGGAGTGTGGGCAACGTCCACTGCCCTTCCCGAGGACACTCATAAAGGGCAGCTGAGCTGGAGCTGCCACTGGGGCATGGCTTCCTGTGCCTGAGATGTGAAGAAGCAGGTGAGCAGTGGCCTGAAGAAGCCTGGTCCTGGCCAGCTGAACCTTCCCTGGGAGAGCGCCCACATCCTCTGTGTGCTGTGCACATGGCGCCCTGTGACTCATACTTGTTCTCAGAGGGGACCCCACAAAGGCTAGCGGCAGCCTGAAGTGGAACCTGCTCCTGGCAGTCTATTTCCAGCGGTCTTCGTGGGTGCTGAGCCTGTCTTCAGACCCAGGAGCCTGCAGCTTTTCCAGATCAAAGTGAGAAGATGACGCCCAGCAGCTCTGTGCCCCCCGCAGGCCTCCCATGGGAGCTGGCCAGCACCCTGGCCCACTGGAGAGACACTCTTTGCTCCTCTGGTTGCCTCTCTACCATCAACTGATCAGTGCCTCTCCCTGAGGACGCTCCCTGATGGTCCCATACAGTCCTCTGTCGTGGAGCAGGCAGCTCCTGATGGGTTACCCGAACACTACAAAAGGCCCCAATGGCAGTGGCTTAGAGACGCAGGGGAAGTATACACAGTGCTCCAAGAGGGCCCCAGGAGATCAGAGTCTGCTAACACCAAAGCTCGAGTGCTGGCCGGACAGCCACACGCTGACCAAGGTCCACCTTCAGGGCACAGCCTGTTCCTCTCAGCTGCTGCTGACATCAGGGATGGCCCTTCCTCTCACAACTGGCGGCCACTGCAGCTGGGACTCTCAATCTTCCAGCCTCTCCTGGGAAGATCTCCAGTTCCCAAGCCCTGCCTTTTCCTTTTGCCAACTTCTGTCGTCGGCCTCCCTGTCTAAGGGACAAAGTGATGGGGCGAGACAGGAGCCCTCACTCCGAACTACTCTGGCGCCCCATGACAAGGGATAAAGGACATAGCGCTTGGGAGTTCTGAGCTTCTTTTCAAATGATGCAGGATCCACGGGTCTGCTGTCTCATCGTGGGATGCTGCCCACAGGCTGTGCCACCGTCCTTTTCCCTCCCCCCTTTTTGGCAGTACTGGCATTGACCCTAGGGCCTCATGCATGCAAGGCAAGCGCTCTCTCTACCTGTGAGCTACAGCCCAGCACTACGCTACAGCCATCAAACTCCCGAACTAGGAGATGGCTGAGAGGACAGAGAGACAGGCCGAGTTCAGACTCCACAGGACTGTGAACTGCCTGGGGCCAGGCTAGGTAAGTCTAGTATACAAGAAGTTTACTGTGTCTGCTCCATGGATAAACAGATGGATTTTTTGTTTTTTATGTTCAACCCGGCAGGTCAGTGAGTATTGGAAAGAATCCTCTAGAAAGAAGACATCTAGTGTGAACCTGTTCTCAGTCCCCTCAGACTAGATGAGGCACATCTTAGTCGGCATCAGAGAAAGCTACAGGGCCAGGACAGAGCACTGGGCCTCTGTGCACTCTGAGGTGCTAATGTCCAAGAGACCACACTTGGCAGGGAACCAGGCCAGCCTTCAAGAAAACCTGAGAATTTCTTCCGTCTGGCTCTGTTCCAAACTGTAGACCAGGGGAAACTGATCCATACGTGGACAAAATAGAGAAGAAGCAAGAAAAACTCATCATCACACACTAAACTACCCACCACCCAGCAGTCTTCTGGAATCAGGCCCAGCTGTGTCCTGTCAGCCTCGCCCAGTCTTAGCATCCCCAGTGGAGACAGGGTTGCAGGCCGGGTTCTGGGGCCACGAGGGCCTAGCGTAAGTGCAAGTGATGGAGAACTCCAGGCTACGCTGCCCCTGCAACAGGGTGCCCTTCCCAGTCTGGAGAAGGGTGGCCCCATGAGACCTAGGGGAATGGAGAGGCAGGGAAGTCCTCAGGGAACTCTGGGGGAAGGGACCCCCAGCAGCCTGGAGCTCAGAGAGGGGCCTCCTGTCTGGGTGCAATGAGGCTTTAGTCACTCACGAGGGGATTCCGGTCATCTTGTTGGCTCTGGCCCTTAAGCTTCTTCTTAAAGATAGAGATTGTAGTGGAAGGTTCATAGAAAATGGTCCAGATCTCTCCAGAAGCCCCTGGTTGACGACAGTCCCTAAGGTCTCCTGAAGCAGGAACACGATGAGACCTGTCAAACGAAAATAATTTTTCAAGTAGATCTGAACAGAGCACTTAGCTCACCACCTCATGAGGCACCTGTACCTGTGAGGCACAGCCTAGGAAGGATGCTGGCTGCCTTAAGGAGTTAAGGACTAGGCATGGTGGCACACGCCTTTAGTCGCAGCTCAGGAAGAAGAGGCAGGCAGATCTCTGTGAGTTTGAGGCCAGCCTGGTCTGAGGCCAGACTGAGTTCCAGGATAGCCAGGGCTACACAGAGAAACACTGTCTAAAAAAACAGAACAAAACAAAACAAAACAAAACAAAACCACAGATGAAAATCCTTGAAAAAAGCTTAACCTGTGCTGACACCTCCAGACTTCACTCCTCGATCCCCTAACGACTACTTTGCAGACGAACTGGAGTCTACACTGTGTGGGGAGAGGAGTCCAGAGACGCACTGGAGTCTACTCTGTGTGGGGAGAGCAGTCCAGAGACGCACTGGAGTCTACACTGTGTGGGGAGAGCAGTCCAGAGACGCACTGGAGTCTACACTGTGTGGGGAGAGCAGTCCAGAGACGCACTGGAGTCTATACTGTGTGGGGAGAGCAGTCCAGAGACGCACTGGAGTCTACTCTGTGTGGGGAGAGCAGTCCAGAGACGCACTGGAGTCTATACTGTGTGGGGAGAGCAGTCCAGAGACGCACTGGAGTCTACACTGTGTGGGGAGAGGAGTCCAGAGACGCACTGGAGTCTACACTGTGTGGGGAGAGCAGTCCAGAGACGCACTGGAGTCTACTCTGTGTGGGAAGAGCAGTCCAGAGACGCACTGGAGTCTACACTGTGTGGGGAGAGCAGTCCAGAGACGCACTGGAATCTACTCTGTGTGGGGAGAGCAGTCCAGAGACGCACTGGAGTCTACACTGTGTGGGGAGAGCAGTCCAGAGACGCACTGGAGTCTACACTGTGTGGGGAGAGGAGTCCAGAGACGCACTGGAGTCTACTCTGTGTGGGGAGAGCAGTCCAGAGACGCACTGGAGTCTACACTGTGTGGGGAGAGCAGTCCAGAGACGCACTGGAGTCTACTCTGTGTGGGGAGAGGAGTCCAGAGACGCACTGGAGTCTACACTGTGTGGGGAGAGGAGTCCAGAGACGCACTGGAGTCTATACTGTGTGGGGAGAGCAGTCCAGAGACGCACTGGAGTCTACTCTGTGTGGGGAGAGCAGTCCAGATACGCACTGGAGTCTACTCTGTGTGGGAAGACATGAGTCATGTTCAGTCTTACATCGTTTTACATAAGGGAATTGAGAAGACCCAGGATTTGGCATCCATATGGTGTTCTGAAACTAATTTTCAACAGATATCAAGATAAGACACTCTCCCCCACATCTTACTCTTTCTGTGCACACACATTCGTGTGTGTGTGTGTGTGTGTGTGTGTGTGTGTGTGTGTGTGTGTGTGTGTCTTGGTCTGTCTGTCTGAATGTCTGTCTGAAAGGTGAGCTCAGTAGACAACAGTAAGGACATCTCTTCTACTGGAAAAGTTCAGAGGAGATGGGTAAGGACACTAGTGTGGCCACAGCTGGCTTCCATGTGTAAACGTTTGTAGCAGAGGGCAGATGAGGCCAGGAGGGGGCTCTTACCAGAACTCGGAGTTCAGGAAGGCCTTTAAGTGGGGACCAGAGAAAAGATTACTGGGAGTCTAGAGAAATCAAGAACTCTACAACACACAAACAGCTCTATCCTTGGAAGGCAGAACACACAGGAAACAACTTTCTTCAGTTTTCTAGAACTAAATGATAAAGCCTTTATCCTTTAGTTAAAAAAAAAAATGAAGACAGGTTTTACTTCTTGATTTATCTGAGACAGTGTCACTTTGTAGTCCAGGCTGGCCTGGTGTTTATTACATAGACCAGGCTGGCCTCAAACTTGCAGCAATACCCGTTTTTGCCTCCTGAGTGCTGAGATCACAGGCGTGAGCCACTGTACCGAGCAGAAATAGGGTCTTGATAAGTTGCTCACATTGGCCTCAGTCATAATTCTCCTGCTTCAGCTTTCTAAGTGGCTAGGACTACAGGTGCCTGGCTTAAATAAATGATCAAAAATAATTTTTAGGGTGATGAGTATACTTACTGGCCACCTGGGGATGAGACAGAGTTTGGGCATACACAGGCCACCAGAGCCCCAGACACCAACAGGGGGCACAGAGACCAGGGAGGCACATGGGCCCATGGCCCAGGAATAAAACAGGGCATGTGCAAGGCCTGGGGTCCTAGGCCTCAAGCTCTAGTGAGTGCACCAAGAGCACAGGGCATTAGTGCTGCTCTCAGCCTAGATGAGAGAACTTCTCTGTACAAACAGGGGTAAATGCAGAGGCCCACAGCTGGTCAAATGCTGAGAACAGTGATCACTGAGAGCTCAGCCTTAAAATGGATACCACTCTCATCCCCTCTAAAGACCAGGGCACGCTATGAAAAAGGAGGAGGCAATAACATAAGAGCCAGGTGACATGAAATGCTCTCTTACGGGTACGACATGGCTTTGGCACTCAGGAGTTTGCGGCAGCTGTGGCTGCATACACAGGGTCTGTATAACAGGTAAGGGAGGGGCTCGTGGGCCACAGGCTCACCCAGGAGAGCTGATGGCCGCCAAGGGCTGTTGGAGGTGAGGAAGTCATTGTCTGCAGGGTGTCGCCTCAGCACGAGGAGACGGCTCTATTCCATGCCCATGTGGGCAGCCCTGCCTGAGCCCTGTAGGCCATAAAGCAAAAAGAGAACAACACAGAAAGACAGGAGGGTGGGCTTGGGGCTTGAGGGGGGTGACGGGAGAAGAGAGCCATGGGGGTGACTGTGAGCAGAATATATTATAATCATGTATGGAACTGTCAAAGAATAAATTAATAAAAATTATTAAGCGCTAGTTGAAATTCTCTTCCTAAGACTTTTTTAGTTTCTAGAGGCATTAAGAAAAATGCACATTACTGTCCTAGGAAGCTTGATTTAAACACAAACCTCTTCAAGGGAACAGCACAAGCCCCCAAGCAGACAATTGCTGTTTCCTATGCCAGAATGGTTTCAACCCTTCCTGAAAGTGAATCTACTGGACACAAAATTCCTCCACTCAGTGTGACTTGTCCTGTTGTCTGTTTCTCTTGAGAGGAAGAGGAATGTTCTCTGCCTTGTACCGCCTGGGACTCGGCCTCTGGAATCATGTTCTGTTTACAACTGTACCCAGACAAACGAAGAAATGACAAAGGAAAGAACTGCTGAGCCCCCCGCCCCCGCCCCGCACCCCCAACTTCCCTTGTACTCACTTAAATGTGACATGCAGAAGGATCTTTGCAACGACGGCTGTGACGGTGAGGATGAGGAGGGTGGCTAGGCCATATACGGTCCATCCTGCAAGTGCAAAGAACGCTCACCAGCTTTGTCTGTCTTCATTTGCCAAAGGAGATCAGCAGCGGGTGGGGGTGGGGTGGGGTGGGAGGGGTGGGAGGGGTGGGTGGGTGCAGAACTGGCTCTGTGACTCCATCCCTGTGGGTGGAGCAGCCAGCTGACCTGGCAGTGGGAGTAACTGGAGCTGGGCTGAGCATTCTTATGCTTTGCTTTCTTATGACTTTGCCTTGTTCTGAAACTCCCTCTGGTAAATTCCAAACACTAGACTTGGAGTCAACAGGGGTGTGGTGAATCTGTCTGCCACTAGAACTCATCAGTTACCTAGAAGTCTTCGAGTCCTAGTTTTCTCATCTGAGCGATGAGAAGTGTGACCTATGAAATCCTACTGGACCCCACAGCCACAGGATGTGGGCTGCAGAGGCCTCCCTCCCTGACCTTTTATGGTGAGATCTACAGAGGCCAGGGAGCAGTGTGAAGTCCTCAAGACCAAACTGTAGATGGCAGTTCTCTTCAGTGCCCCAGCTCATTCCGGGACCACATCCTCAACAGAAAAGGAGGGAAGGACATCTGTAGCCAACTACACTAGCTTAGCCACAGAAGATCATGGCCCATGGTCTCTCCTGCATGGCTTCTCTTCACAGCTTTAGCACTCCCGGCCTCTGACAGTGTCTCTGGTGTCCTTCCTCCCACTGGGAACCCATAGGGAACATGCACAGCATTGTCCTAGCATTCTGTGCATTTCACTGTGCAGAAGAGGAGGAATGTCCACCCTTATGCTGCCCACAACTTGGAGACTGGACTCCAAGACGACAAAAGAAGGGCAGGGCTTTATCTGGTTCAGTGTACGGTCCAGTGTTTAGAACTGTGCATGGCATCACTGAAGGAATTCTGTATCTTTTGGTTTTATTTTTTTCCCTCCCTTTTGGTTCATGGTCTAATGGCTAAGCCACCTCCAGCCTGTATGTACCTTTTGAATCAACGTATTTGAGGAGCTCTACCCTGGGGCTCTGTGGGGGGCCATCCACCCCCCACTTTCCCCCAGGGTACTCTTGAGCAGGAGCAACAGGAAATATTAGATAGAAAAATAGCTAGAGAGAGACAGACAGAAAACACAGGATAGCTTTGGGAGGGCCTGGATCCTAATCCAGGCCCTGACTGTCTCTGCCAAAGGGCTTTTAAAGGAGTGCCAAGGGGTGGAGCAAAAGACCCCGCCCCAGCACAGCCACGTGCAGACCCTTCCAGACCTGGTGACCATGTCTGTGCTCAGTCCATCCCCGAATGCAGCCCTGCTGTGTAAAGCAAGCTCAGATCTCACTAGGAAACCTCTGTGGACCCCAACAGGGCTCTCAGCACGATTTTTTTTTTAAATGATGAAGAGTCCAGCTTAGCTGCTAATCACAGGTACCAAAGGCACACAGAATCCATCTTTGGAAGGGAACTAAGTTGATGAGAGCATTTCTCTCAAAGGCCATGCAGACTAGAGGTTGCAGAGCCAATATCCCAACCTGTGTCTGAAGGAGAAGCACCCACAAGCGCCTTTGTTTCTGTAAGTGTTGAGAGAACTACCTTCCACTCTGTGGCCGCTGGCCCCAACCGATGGCGCCCAGGAATGGCTACCTGGGACAGTCTGCGGTGGGTGGCTGGGGCTGGTGGTGATGACGTAGAGGACTTTGGAAGAGTGGGCGGCGCTGACGCTGAGGTTGGCTTGTTCGGTGATCACCTCTGCCAGGGTCTGGTTGACTGCAGGCCTCTCCTGTGGTGCTTCTTCCTTGGTGGCTACAAGATCAAAAGGATTAACCCGAGAAAGCCAAGGAAGACAGCAGGAAGGAGGGCACTGCTGGGGCTAGGATGAGACCTCTTCTCTTTTCTTTCTCTGTGTGTGAGAGAATGTTCTGCGTGTGTGTGGGTGTACACGCATGTAGGATGCACATACATGTGAAGGCACAAGGGTGATGTTGGGAATCATCCCTGAACACTCTTCCATGTTCCAATGAGGCAGAGTCTCAAACAAATGCAGAGCTCCCCAGTATGGCGAGTCTCGATGGCCTGTTCTGGGGATCCCATCTCTACCTCCCAAGGCTGGCATCAGAGGTGGGCCACCACACCCACTCAGCATTTATGTGCATTCCGGGGGGCAGGGGGGGAGGGTCATGCTTGTTCAGCACCTAACCACTGAACCATCGCCTCTATACTTCCTTCTTTTTGAGACAGGGTCTCATATAGCCCAGGCTGGCCTCCAGCTATGTAGTTGAGGATAGCCCTGAACTCTTTTTTTTTTTTTTTTGGTTTTTCGAGACAGGGTTTCTCTGTGTAGTTTTGGAGCCTGTCCTGGATCTCGCTCTGTAGACCAGGCTGGCCTCGAACTCACAGAGATCCGCCTGGCTCTGCCTCCTGAGTGCTGGGATTAAAGACGTGCGCCGCCACCACGTGGAGGCCCTGAACTCTTAATCTTCCTGCCTCTACCACCCAAGAGCTGGTGTTTGAGGTGTGTGCCACAACTGGTCAATGAGGTGTGCTCTGACTCAAGTCTGCACACCGTCTCCTCTGCTGTTCTCACTGGTAGCAAAGCAGGACCTGTCAGGCTAGGTCTGGCTCTGCAGGGCGGAAGGTAGAGACTGCTCTCCTCAGGCACAGAACCTGCTTCCTCGGCTCCCTTGTGCTCTGCAGTACCTCCTTGTAATGACAGCCCCAGTCCCACCTGTTCACTAGTCTGTCCAATTCCTACAGCCCTAACTTCTTTTGGGTTGTGCAGTCCAATACCTGTGCTTCTCAGGGGCCAGCAAAGGCTCCTGTTTGCACACTTGTGTTCATATCAGAGGGGCGGAGTGTTTCGTCTCTGAGGAAAGATGGTAAATTAGTCTGTGGGACTGCCCGGGGTGTTTAGAAGAAGTAGGATGGATAAAGTGAACACTTAAGAGCCTTTCATTTCCGCCAGCCACCTCCTTTTATCTGTCATGTAGCTTGTCCACAGAACTGCCACTAAGACCACTAAATTCAGCCTAGAGAGTGGTTCAATGCCTGCTTTTTCAGAGGACCCGAGTTTGGTTCCCAGCACCTATGTAAGGCAGTTCACAACTGCCTGCCTATGCTTCTAGCTCCTGGTGATCTGATGCCCTCTTCTGGCCCCTGGAGCACCCACACATGTGCATATACTCACACAGATATAAATACAATCTAAAATAAACAAAACCATTAAAATAGTAAAACTGGAATAAAACCAATTATGCACTGCAAGGTGGGAGTTATGCACTGGAAGGTGGATGTTGTGCACTGGAAGGTGGATGTTGTGCACCGGAAGGTGAGAGTTATGCACCGGAAGGTGGGGTGTTGTGCACCGGAAGGTGTGAGTTGTGCACCGGAAGGTGGGTGTTGTGCACCGGAAGGTGGGAGTTGTGCACCGGAAGGTGGGTGTTGTGCACCGGAAGGTGGGTGTTGTGCACCGGAAGGTGGGTGTTGTGCACCGGAAGGTAGAGAGCTGTGTGATGGTAAGTGGGGGATGAGTCCATGTTGAAACCATCTGCAGCTGAGTCAGTAGGTCCAAGTCTGCCCCAAAAGAACCACTTTAGGCTTGAAAACCCTAGGGAGGAAGAGAAGGCCGAGGCACCTGTGCCCAGAGACAACAATGTCTTACCTTGGTATAAGACAGCAAATCCCTGGGCCTGATTGATGCGATCAGAGAAGAAATACAAAATGACAAAATCCAGAGAGATATTAAAGGACAAGGGCGGGTGGTTCCTCCCATTGAAACGGACCAGGACACGGTGGGTATAACCATCCAGCAGCTCCACCATGTCTGCAGAGTCCCTGATATCAAATAAGGTGAAGTTGAAGTGGATGTGAGAGGCTCCTGGAACCCGGATAGTCCAGTAGCAGACCCGCCCAGTGGCGTAGGTGTCAGGGAAGTCAGGCGAGTAGACCACGGCGGCCATGGCTGAGTAGTTTCCACCGCAGGCGCCCACGAGAGCTGCAGAAGAGAAAACAGTGGGCCTGAGTCTGGGCCTTGGGTTCCTCTCTAATTCGGGCACAAACAACTCCCAAGAAATGTGATCCTGTTAGGGACATTGTTTCCAGCTACAAAACCAGACCATCTTGGGTTTTAGGTAGATCAAATCACAAAAGGAATCACTTACACCCTGAACGAATGACTGTACAGACTATTTGGTTTCCCCCAGGAGACCTTACACTTAGTGCTCGGAAGAGCAGCCTACGCTGGGGTCTGGCTGGAGTCAGACAGTCTGGATTCAGGACCAGCAGAGCCATGTGATCCTAGAGGCTGCACCTCATTCCCAGGCCTCTCACTGGTGTTTCCACTTTAGGGCCACCACCTGCTCCTGTATCCCATGACAGTGAGAGGACATGAGATAAAGTGCATGGAAACCCTGGGACCTCCTGCAGAGGAGGGGCTTCTGAAGACTGAAGTCACAGAGGGGAGGGCTCTGCCGTCTCCTCAGTGTCTCCAGCACCTCAGAGGTGCAGTGCTCTCCTGAGAAGGACTGGCAGGACAGCTCTGCAGGGGAGCACTAGCCTAGCGAGTGCAACCATGGCTTGGATCTCCAAAAGCATGCAAGAGGAAGGAGAGAGGTGATCCCAGATTCATGATATTCTGTATCAACCATGATTTCCTGGACTCGTTTTTTTTGATTGACAGGTCCTTAGAAAGGTGATACAGCCACTTTCTGTCTTACATAATTACCATCTTGGGAATGAAAGACTTCAGGAGGGAGTGTAGGAATAGGATTTAAAAGAAAGTTTATTTTTCAGTGCTGAGATGGAACCCAGGGCCATGAGCATGCTCAGCAAGCACTCTTCCACTGAGCTACATCTCCAGCAGGCTTTAGGGGATTTCTTCTCTATTTAGCATACAGAAAAGCAATAAAAGTATGCTGCTTTGCTGGTCCTGGTGGTGTAGGCCTGTAGCCCTAACGCTGAGGAGGCTGAGGTCGGAGGATGGTCAATTCAACAGCCTGTCTCAAAACACCAGAGGCTGGCGAGAGCTCAGTGGTAGCTCCCTTGACTAGCATGTGAGCCCCTGGGGTTGATCTCTAGCACTGGGAAAGACAAACAAAGAAGCTGCTTTCTCATCCTAGTGATGAGAAAGCTCCAAATCAGAAGCCGAGGTCTCAAGACAACTGAGGAAATTTAACACTAACAAGTATGAATCGGGCCACAGAAATGGGCTCATCTGTGCCAGGGCACAGGGGAGGTGACCACCACAGAGCACACAGATGACCGTAGCTAAAACCGTAGAGGGTCCCAGGGGCTGTGTCAGCCTGACTTCTCCACTGAGGACACTAAGAGCCTGCGGTACACTGATGTTTGCATTCACTCGCAGGCTCTTCTGCACAGGCCTCCTAGTGCTGGCACGAGTGACCAGTGTCAAGCAGCCAGCCAGAGTTCCCCTCGGTGGCACAGGTGTGCAGGAGGCGATAGGCTGCTGCTGCTAAGGGGCAAGTCTGGAGCACCTCCTACTCCCTGGGCCCTCCCCACAAAGGAAGCAAAACCTCCAGTTGCTGGGAGAGAGCAGTTAACCCATTGCTCCCAGGGCCATTGGAGAGAGGCAGGGGTGAAACATGTTTGTGTCTAGGGAGGGAGGAGATTACTTTCTTAGTAACAAGTAACTTCCAAGTAAAAAGGCTACTGCCTCTGGGAGAAGAGACAAAGCAAAAGACCTCAGCCCCTGGCTGCCTTAAGGCCTCCTTGGGAGAGAACAGGATTCTCTACCAAGTTTCACCAAAGAAGTAGTGTATGGCTGCCAGGGGAGCGGAGGCTGGTGAACCACTGAATCACCTTGCTCCTGTAGCTGAGGACAGGCAGGGGAACCAGCAACCCCCATGCCTTCCCACACAGCACCAAGTAACAGAAAATGGCTGTCTCCCACAAGGGCAGGACACAAAAGGACCTGCTCAAGGCCGAGAGTGGAACAGGACACTAAAAACCCACTATCTACACTAAGCACAACTTCGGGATCTGAGGGAACCTGAAGGGCACCAAAGGGAAGGACAGAAAAACAGCCCAAACCTAGCTCAGCTACTGAGAGACCCAGCCTAGTTTCCAAACTAAGTAGCCGCCCAAGTGTAAATGCTATTTACTTTAGCATCTACCATTCTACCTGCAGTGAGTGGCATTAAACAGAATACCACAGCACACGCATAAAAGCAAGCTAAAATGGGGAAGGATTCATTACCAAGATATAAAGCAATCCACAGAACAAGATCCACAAGTGACCAGATGCCGGAGCTACCAGACACAGAGGCTACGTAATGAATACGGTACCGTTCACAGTGAAAAGGGCAGTAAACTGGGACGGACTAGAAGTCTCAAAGGAAATGTGGAAACCACAGTAAGAGTCAAATGCACTAGGCACGGTACTCCAAGATTGAAATTCTAGCACTTAGAAGACAGAGGCAGGAGGATTAGAAATTTAAGGTCAGCCTTGGCTACATGAAGTTTGAGGTCAGCCTTGTCTCAAAAACCCCAAGGAATCAACTGTTGGGACAGGAGAGATGGCTCAGCAGTTATGAGTGCACTCTGCTCATGCAAAGGACCCAAGTCTAGTTCCCAGCACCCATGTCAGATGGCTCACAACTGCCTGTAAATCCAGCTCCAGTGGCCCTGAAGCCCTCTTCTGGCCTCTACAGGCATTGTACTCATGTGTACACACACACACACACACACACACACACACACACACACACACACACACACACATACACACACACACACACACCCCTAAAAATAAAGACAAAGTTAAAAACCAAACAACAAACAAACAAACAAGCTAACAAAATGTCGCCAGTGGTGGCGCATGCCTTTAATCCCAGCACTTGGGAGGCAGAGGCAGGTGGATCTCTGTGAGTTTGAGGCCAGCCTCATCTACAAAGTGAGTTCTGGGGCAGCCAAGGACAGCTAAGGCTACATAGAAAAACCCTGTCTCGAAAAACCAAAAAATCAAACCAAACAAAACCAAAACAACAACACCAACAGCGACAAACCACCCCAAACCAAAACCAGAAACAAAACAAAAAACCAAACCAAATCAAACAAAAAACCCAGCGTCAAACGTAAACGCTAGAAAAAAAATTACACATCATCAGTGATGGAGCGGTCCTTTGATTTCCCTGCACACCGAGTGCAGCCGAGGAAGACCCACTAAAGACACGTCAGTAACACATATGGTCCAAAATGAGACAGAGGAACCGACGAGAAGGACCGAGCATCCAACCTCTGAAGACGGAGTGGGCAGTGCTAAGAATGCCCACCTGCTGTGTGAGCGCACACAGGCAGGAAGCATAGCTTCCACGGACCAGGAAAGAGTAATAATCGGGCACACTGGGCATCACTGACCACCGACTTAAAGCAGAAAACTGGATCAGTCATTACAATCTATTTATTTTATTATTGTTAATAAAAGGGATCCTAGCTGTGAAAAAGAAAACTGGTAAACTTGGGTTTGAATCTTGGCTCTGGTACTTCTAACTGAGGTAACTGACTTTATCTTTGGAGTTTCTTCGTTTGTTTGTTTGAGACAGGATCCTACTGTGCAGCTGAGGCAAGCTTTGAGGTAAACACATTGTACAGACAATGTCCGAGTTAGAACCTGCAAGCGATTGGTTATAAGCTGGGCTGGGCTTGACAGACATGCTATACAATGACTGAACTGTGTCCCCCGAAAGGATGGATTCAGTTCCTACTACTAGGGTCTTTACACATGTAATCAGGTTAGGATGGTGTCATATGGTTAGAGAGGGTTTGAAGTCCAGTGGCCAGAGCCTTCATGAGATGCACAGAAACAGATACACAAGGTGGGATGATGGTAACGTTCAGGGAAATAGAGGGAGTGGGCGAAGCAGCTGGAATTCAATGGACGCCGGAGATAGCTGATGATCCTCTGAACCTGCAGTGGTCCCTACAGGCTCATGTTCTGATCTGCTGTCCCCAGCTGGCAGTGCTATCTGGGAAGGCTGTGGCACATTTAGGGGACAGGCCTAGCTACGTCACTAGGGGTGGGCACACTAAGGTTATATGTTACACTAATCCCTGGCTCTGGTACCTTCGATGATTCCTGGTCTATCACCATGTGAACAGTTTCTCCCTCATGGTCTTGCCACCATGAACTGAACTGTTCTGCCATCCTTCCTGCTATGACAGAGAGAGCGAACGCTTCCTTCTGGAAGCTGTTCCCGTCAGCTGTTTGGTTAAAATGACACAAAAGTAACTAACCCAGAAACCTGGTACTAGGGAAGCAGGCCATTGCTGTAGCTCCCCGCCATGTCACTGTTAAGGGCTTGGGAAGCGGTCTACAGGAGGAGGGTAGAGGTCGGAGATGCAGGCCGGAGACATCTCAAAGTGATGCCAGTCTATTGAAGTAATTCCAGAGGGCATGCAGAAGCCAGAGCATGACAGGAGTGAGATCCTGAGCCTTGTGAGGCTTCCGGTCAGAGCAGGGGCTCTGTGAGCACAAGTGCGGCCCGTTCTGTGAATTCTGGCATAGCATTTGTCTGTGTCCTGCTGGGTTCTGAAACAGTAATGGAAAATAACTCAGCAGAAAAGCTTTTAAGACAGCACAGCATTCTGCTTGTGATGTGGTTACTATGGGTGTCTTTCAGCCAGGTTTACCATGAGACTTCAGAGAAAAAACATAGAGCAGAAAATGAAAATAAACAATTTGGCCAGAAATGAGTATGTTTAAAGTCACAGACAAAGCAAATTGGAAGAAGAGGCCACAGTTGTCAAAGAGGAGAATGCCACTTTGGACTGAGACAACGAAGTTCTTTGATGGCACTTCAGGAAGGAGGTGGTAAGCTGTCACCCACTGAAGGCTGTAAGATGGAACATTCATCGGGAGATTTTTTTTTTTTAAAGATTTATTTATTAATTATGTATACAATGTTCTGCCTGCGTGTACGCCTGCAGGCCAGAAGAGGGCACCAGATCTCATTACAGATGGTTGTGAGCCACCATGTGGTTGCTGGGAATTGAACTCAGGACCTCTGGAAGAACAGCCAGTGCTCTTAACCACTGAGCCATCTCTCCAGCCCTCATCGGGAGATTTTACACGGGAGCGGTACAGCCAAGGTGCCCTGCTAGAGAAGGGCTGCCTAGAGAAGTGTTTGCCGAGCTTACGTGCCTCGGCACTCAGGCAGCTGCAGCAGAGTGCAAGCAGGCCTGGGGACATCACAGGCGTCAGCAGAGCTTGGCACTGTAATATGGTACTGGTTTTGCTGGTGTGCCAAGTGCAAGAACTACAGTGATGGTGGTTTGACTGACAGTCATGTGTGCTGTGTATGCGGGTCAGAGGACACCTCAGGTGGCGTTCTTCAGGAGCTGTCTACCTTGTTTCGTGAGACAGGAGCTTGCCAAGCTGGCTATGCTGGCTAGCCAATGAGTCCCAGGGATTGACCTATCTCCACTAGTGCTGTGATGACAAGCAGCTGTCACCATGCCCAACTGAGCCTTCTCCCCAGACTTCCACCAACATTGTGAAGGAAAGCTCAGGAGGCTGTCAATAAGCAGCAGTGTGAGGTTCCCCGAGGAAAGCCCTTGACAGACTATGTGTGAAGCTATGAGAATACAGTATAGATGTCAATGGAGAGACCTTGGGGCATGCCAGGTGCTGTGGGATGGTCCTTCTGCAGACTGTGAATATGTATTGTTCTCATTGGTTGATAATAAAGCTGTTTTGGCCTATGGCAAGGCAGGATGAGGTTAGGCAGAATAATCACACTGAGGACTCGGAGGAAGATGGGTGGAGTCGAGGATCGGTGAGCCAGTCACCCAAGGAACAAGATGCCAGAGAACTGGTAAGCCATGGACTACGTGGCAATTAATAGATTAGTAGAAATGGGTTAATTTAAATGTAAGAGCTAGTTAGTAATAAGCCTGAGCCATTGGCCAAACATTTATAATTAATATAAGCTTCTGTGTGTTTATTTGGGACTGGGTGGTTGAGACAGAGAAACTCCCCCTCCATTTACAGTCAGGAGCGTGGGGTGTCTGTTGAGAAAAGCTGCAAGCAAAGAGTGAAGCCAGACCAAGAGGATGTTACAGGGTTCACAGTTCAAAGTTTGCCTAAGCTTCAGAAGAGACTTCAGACATTTGAACAGAGTTGGGGCTGTTAAGCCTGGGAGTTGGGGACTAAAGAGATGGATGGCTTAGTAGTTAAGAGCCCTGGCTGTTCTGCTAGTGGGTTGAGTTCAATTTCTAGCACGCACATGGCTTCTCATGACTATCTCTAACTCCAGTTCCAGGGGGTCCGGCCTCTGAGGACATCAGGCATGCATGTGGTATACAGACATACAGCCAAAGCACCCACAAGCATAATAAAAACATACTAAAGTCATGGGTTTAAAACAAAGACTGTGAGGACTTCTAAGGTAGACTAAATATATTTCGCACTATGAGATGGCTATGAACTTGGGGGGTCTGAGGTGAATGTCTTTGCTCATTCCTCTGGTTGGGAAGCTATGGAATGGATACAGATGGAAGAAGTAAGTTCCTTCAAGGGACGGTCCCTTCAGTGGCTGGTTCTAGCACTCTCCTGCTCAGCCAACACATGAACCGTTTCCACCATGTAGTCCTGCCACAAACCAAAGCCACTCCATCACTCCCTCCTGCTCTACTGCCCTGAAATCCCTCCGATGCCATGGGCCAGAAGAAACCCTCTCCTGCCATGAGCTGTTTCTCTTCTGTGTTTTAGTCACAGTTCCTAGAGCCTTGGGAAGGAGCATGGCCTGCTGACATCCTGACTGGGGGCTTCTCTCTTTTGTGATAGAACAAGTTCCTATTGATTGAAGCCCTACAATGTGTGATACTTCATTACAGCAGCTCTAAGAAACAAGTCTTGTGAACGTTTTGCTCAAAATGGAGCCCCTGCCTAGTTGAGATGTCAGGCGTGAGGACCCGGTCCTCAGGCCATCAAAGACCCTGCAGATGGGCTAAATTATCCTCAGTAAGCTCAAGGTCTCCCTTCCACCTTTCACCTGTGACCTTCTTTTCTCGAGTGTTCAAATCAGGTGCCACACCTCTCATGCGGTCTCACTGCCACTGAGCGTGCACGTGAATTATGACAAGGGATGAGAGCAGTGTGGGAGAGGTCAAGGCTCAGGACCCACACTTCACTCAGCACGGCCTTGCCTCTCGCTGGCACCTCACCAATGTGGTGGGACGGAGAGGTGGTGGTTCAGGGAGATGCACAGACAGGGCTGGGAAAATGACTTGAAGTGTTTACCAGGCTATCTTCTCAGACGCACCTTGGTGAGGCAGAACCCCAGTGCTTACGAACACACAGTGGGGTTGTTTCCAAACACGAGCTCGAGAGAGCAGACGCTCTACAGGAACACCCGTGTATGTGCGAAGTGAAAGCCTAATCTTTCTGCTTGTCAAAGTAGCTCCAAGACAGCCTGTGGGAGGCACATGAGCACTAGGGGAACCAGGGATGTTAAACACAGGCTTGTTCCTTCAAAGAGAGGGATGCATAACCTGTTATCCACCCAGAAGGCTGGGAGGGGGCGCAGTTAATAGCCTGGCGACCTATGTGCTGTGTGGCCAAGGCCACAGTGGACCCTCCCCCAAACCCTTATCATGAGCTAATCAATCTATAGAACCTATCTTTTTTGTTTTTGTTTCTGAGACAGGGTTTCTCTGTATAGTTTTGGTGCCTGTCCTGGATCTCCCTCTGTAGATCAGGCTGGCCTCGAACTCACAGAGACCTGCCTGGCTCTGCCTCCTAAGTGCAGGGATTAAAGGTGTGCGCCACCACCGCCCGGCCTATAGAACCTATCTTTATGGAAGATGCCACACATACTTTATAAAGAGTTTTCATGCAGTCATGTCTTAAGCTTTATTGTGCACACAGAACTGAGTTAATTACCACCAGGAAAATTTTCACCAAATTGTGCTATGTCTAAATATGCCTAAAACAAACTATTTGGGGGTCAGATTCCAAAGTTTGAACCAACACCAGCTACTGAGTCATGCTGAACTGAACTACCTTCTTGCCTCCCATGGGTCATTACTCTGCTGGCCATGGCGGTCTGTGATCAGCAAAGACACCCACAATAGCCACGCTACTCAGACCACTAGTCATAACTATAGATGACCACTGTTAAGCACTGCTGTTCCTTCTAGAGGGAGTGAGTCAGAGTCAGCCTGCTCTGTGCTTCAGTCCCAAGGGCTGAGCTATGGTTGGCATCACAGGACAGGTGCTCTGTGAGTACTGACAAGAGAAAGAATAAACAGATGGGAAGGTGGGTGGGGAGGCGTGTTGTCCCTGTCACGCCTTTGGCACCGGACATACTCACTGTCGAAGACGATAATCCTGCCGTCCCCACCACAGGGCTGCGTGTGGTCCCCGAAGCAGACACTGTTGCACTCGGTGCTGGCTGCCTGCCCGTGTTTCCAGTAGTCAGGGTTGTTCCCACAGAAGCAGGCATAGCCTGACTCCATCCCGGCAAACTGTCACGACAGAAGACGACTGTGACGACTCCTAAGTTGGACCATTGCATTTTGCACTATGAGATGGCTATGAACTTAGGGGGTCTGGGGTAAATGTTATCACTTGATGTTGGGAATGTTTTGGGGGGTGACAGGTCCAAAGGAGGCTAGCAGCCCCTTTCCCCCAAACCCCAAGCAGTCAGCCTTAGTTTCCCAGCCCGGCCTTTCTTCTCCTTAGTTTTACTGCCTAGTCTAAGTTGGCCAGTAGCTCCACACCACTAGTGTGTTCCCTGTCCGTGAGAATTCCTTTCTGATGTTCTCATTCCCACTACATTGAACTAAATCTCTAAGGAGGACACCAGTCCATGTTTACATGGGATACTGACAAAAACAGCCAAACATTTTATTGACTGTTTACTATGTACCAGGCAAGCCAGGTGAAATTTTATTTAACATTTTTGTTTTTATGTGTATGCGTGTTCTGCCTGCATGTCTGTCTGTGCATTGCATGTGTGCAGTGTCTGGAGAGGCCAGAAGAGGACACTGGATCCCTGAGACTGGCGTTATAGACAATTCTGAACTGCCATGTGGATGCTGGGAACCAATCCCAGGTCCTCTGGAGCTTTAGCTCTCTCTCCAGTCCTCAAGATTTATTTTTTAATGTGTATCTGTGTGTCCATCCATCTGTCCATCTGTGTGTGTGTCTGTGTACACAAGTATAGGTGCCCACAGAGACCAGAAGGTGGTGTTAGATACCCTAATGCCTGAGTTAGGGTGGCTGTGAGGAGTTCAACATAGATGCAGGGAACCAAACTCTGGTCCTCTGCAAGAGCAGTCTCTCAGGCCCCTAATGCGCTTTCTAGCTGAATCTCACAGCAAACACACCGAAACCCCATTTACATTTTCCTTTCGTCTTTTATGTTAATACACTGAGCACACAGTCCTACGGGAGCCAATCCTCAGATGCAGAACAAGCTGGGCCACACCAGTAGCCTTCCTGTTCTTGCTTTCTACCCTCTCCCACAGACCCTACAACTACTACCCAAGCTTCTCTACTAGTATCATTTTGTTATTTTTAGAACATAAAACAGCTTAAACAACAACAACTCAGCATGGCTGTGAAGGTCATGCACATCGGAGCATATGCTAACACTTCACCCCTTTATTTCACCTAATACAGTTCTGTATAATGTGGACACGGCTCCAGTGGCTCATCCGTTTCCAGGTTTTCATTATGATGAATACAACTGCTATAACAACTGTGGACAGACCTTGTGCGGATGTAAGTTCTCATTTGTCCTGGGGAATAATTAGGGGTGAGATTGTTGGGTTTAACTTTTTTAAAGACCCCACCAACCTTTCCCAGGACTAAGCTGCATCACCAACCCTGTGTGGGAGCTGTCACTGCTCTGGACCCTTGTCAACACCTGCTACTGTAGGTCTAGTTGACTTTAGCCACTGATGTTTGTGTGTCTGATGGTGGCTGTAGTTTGCATTAGTTTAATGACCAATGATGATGCATGTAAGTTCAGTTGCTCGTTTGCCACTGACGTGTCCTCCATCTCTGGTGATGAATTGTTTGCTTTCTTTTGCTTACTCCAAAACCCTGTTGCCTGACACTTTACTTTTGTGATCTTTAGTTTTTCACACGTTTTGGATCAAGATTGACCCTGACTGTGGGCAGCAGCCTGCCTCGGGCTGAGGCCCCAGATTTAACAAAAGGAGAAAGTGAACTGAGCACCGGTACCGGACCGTTCTGCTTCCTGACTGTGGTACAACGTGGCAGCTGCCTCACGCTCCTGACGGCATGCCTCAAAGCATGAGCTAAAATAACCCCTCCTCCTCAAGCTTCTCTGTCACAGCACGAGCAGTGACCATCACGGGGTCCAAATGCTACCATGCACGTGATTATCCTACTGCTTCAGTACTATTTGTTGAAGACTATCTTCCTACTCGAAGATATTGGCAATTGTGTTGAAAATCAATTGACCATCGATTTAGACTCATTTTTGAATTGTGAAGTCTATTGTTCTGTATGTCTATTTTTATGGCACTCTCACAGTAACTATTTTCTGTAGTTTAATTCAAAGTCAATCTTTGTCTAAGCTGTGATGCAAAACTAAAGACTTATTTTTCTTCACAGAGCTATACTGTTTCTTCAGAAGTATTTGATGACAACCCTTCACTGTTGAACTGCCTTGAAACCTTCATAAAAATCAATTGTTTGCATGTGTGTAGGTCTGCTTCTAGATGCTTCCACTGATCTACAGCAGATTTCAGAAAACCCTTTCTATAAAGGCCAGAAGTAAATACTATTTATTCTGTGGGCTACATAGTCTCTTTCTCTACCCAGCTTTGTGGTCACACAATGAAAACAGTTACAGACAATATGTAAATGAATAGGCATGGCTCTGTTTAATAAAACTTTATTTACCCAAACAAAAAATAATAGATGGGTGGTTGGATTTGCCTGTGGGCAATTTCTGACTGGCTCCTGACTTACTCTCTTGGTGACAGCAGCTTTTCAGAGGTCTACAGGTCAGGTGAGGAAGTCTCACAAAACTGCCCTTTACCAAGATCGCTTTGGCAATCCTAAACCCTCTGTCAGGGTCGGCCATTTTTCCTTTGCATTGTTAGGCAATGACACTGCCCTGGCCTTGCTTGTCCTGGGCAAGCTTTACTACTGAGTGTTAGCTCCAGAGTAGCTTGCCATCTTTTTAAAGCTTGATTTTTTATTAGGGTTCCATTTAATTTATAGAGTAACCCGGGGGAATTACCACTTTAATAATAGTCTCGTTGCCTCAGCTGTAAACTGAGGTCTGCACCATCATCTACGAGGTCTTCTTTAGTTCTCTACAGTCTTATTGGTTTCTGAATGAGCTCTTAAATCTCATTTATTAACCTCCTCATTTTGCTCCCAGTATTGATGGGATGGAGGGCTTTACACAGGCCAGGCACTAGGTAAAACTCTGGGCCCGACTAACTGTCAAGCCGTCTTTACTCCTGTAAAATGGTAAGATTTTCTTTTCTAGTCTTTCTTTTTGAACAAATGGTTTATTGAAATATACTGCAAAAGAGCATCTGGTGAGCTCCCAGAGAAGAGATATATAGTACTGTTGTCATTAGTATATATAGTATTACTACCATTATTTGTTTAGAAGCTTAAATTGTTAATATTTCACTGCTAGTATATGGAAACGTATCTTTTTATATGTGACCTTATAACCTACAACCCTGTTAAACTTATTGATTCTAGTCCCTTTTTCCGTAGGTTCCTTAGAATGTTGTATTAAATAAAAACCAGTTCTTACTGTCCAATCTATTCACCTTATTCCTTTTTTACTTTTTTTAAATATTTATTTTTATTTCATGTGTATTGGTGTTTTGACCTTCATGTATACCTGTATGAGGGTGTTGGATTTTCTGGAACTGAAATTACAGACAGTTGTGAGCTGGGAATTGTGAGCTATGAGTTGTGAGTGCTGGGACTTGAACTCAGGTCCTCTGGAAGAGCAGCCAGTGCTCTTAACCACTGAACCATCTCCCCAGCCCTTATTCCTTTTTTAAAAAACCTATATATATACATATTTTCAAGACAGGGTTTCTCTGTGTAACAATCCTGGCTGTCTTCAAACTCATTTTGTAAGACCTGGCTGGCCTTGAACTCACAGAGATCTGCTTTCCTCTACCCCCTGAGTGTTAGAATTAAAGGTGTCTGCCACCATTGTCCAGCTTTAAAAACCTATTTCTTTGGCATGATCCTGCAGGCCAATGAGGTAAGAATGGGTATTACTGGCTGCTCATGACACTAGTTAGGAAACATGGGACCCTTCACAACAGTGTAGTGCATTAGCTGTAGATCCTTTAAAACAGGTACTTTAAATTACATCCAGGCACTACGATGCATGCCTGTAATCCCAATACTTGGGAGAGGAAGGCAAGGAGGACCAGGAATTCAAGGTCAGCTTTAACTATACGAGTCTCTCTTTCTCTCTGTCTCTCTCTGTCTCTCTGTCTGTCTGTCTGTCTGTCTGTCTGTCTGTCTGTCTCTCTCTCTCTCTCTCTCTCTCTCTCTCTCTCACACACACACACACACACACACACACACACACACACACACACACACACACGTTTGTTGTATTTTGAGACAGGGTCTCAAATGTAGCTGTAGTGGGCCTATAACTTGCCATGTAGATCAGGCTGGCCTGGCCTGGCACTCATAGAGATCAGCCTGACTCTGCCTCCCTGGTGCTGGGATTAAAGGTATGTGTCATCATGCATGGTCATTGTGGGAGATTCTTAAGAGTAGGTATGCTTTCACCCAAATAGTGAGGATTTGGGATATTTGTAGAGCTTGATGGCCATTTCCTATCAATCATTACTATGACAGCTGTCATATGGTAATAATTACCTCATTTCTTCTGTACTTACTAGTTTGCATTCACTAATCAGGAATGTTTATCTTTTCATTCATTCATCACTGTGGAGTGGTGTGCTCTTATTTTAGTCAATAAGATGCATCTATTACTACCATTATCTGAAGCTTAAAGCATGTCAGGTTTAGGTCATGGGACCTCCTTCAAGGTGGCTTTGTCCCTTTGATAAATTAATGTTTCCGTCCTACATGAGGTGTTTTGAAGACATCTTGTGCTTTCTCAGAACCAGCACAACATGGGTAATATCCCCACAAGCTTCTTTCTGGTGGAGAGCCGAATGCTGGCTATACTCTTGCTTATCAGTGTGCGTGCAGCAAGGCTCCTGCTGGACGGTGATGAAGTGTATGTGTGTATATACACAGTCATTGCATGACTACATATATCATTATATACCTCTCTATAATCAAAGTCATGAACTACACTATCCAGTCCCCTGGAACACTACCTATGGGCTTCACTTCAGTTTTCTCCAGCTTCCACGTTTATACAGCCCTGCTCCAGTAGTTGGAATACACTAGCTTTGATACATTCATGATATGCTCAAGTTCTGTACAAGCAACCAACCACATAGTCATGGGGGTTCAGCTGCCTTGATTATTCACCTGCCCCACATGAGCCTGAAACCCAGGCAGGGCACCCTCTTTCTTGGGCCTCATTAATGGCTTTAGACTGGCCCGGTTAGAGAAAGAGGGAGAGGAAACCACGGGAGAGAGAGAGGAATTGTTTTCCCTCTGATTTAACAAAAAACCAGCACTACTGAACCTTAGTGATGGGGGAAAATTCCAGACAAGGAAGAGGAAGAAAAGAACATTTGGAGAAGAGGTAGGCCTTGGCAATTTGCCAAGGAAGGGGCCCGCTGTCTTGGCTTGATTCTCTGTGGAGTCATTAACATCCTTGCTCATAACAGATCAAAACTCAGTCAGAGGCCAAACAGGGGCTGCTACCCACTCCCCATCTTTAAACTGAGTGCTGCCTTGTGCTCCTGACTCCTGAGCCCACTCTTCCTGTGTGGCTTGACAGGTGGGTTGTTGTAATTTATCTTTATCTTCTCTGTACACTGTACATTTCTTATACACTACAGAGCTGGTACCTTGAACCTCTGACTCCGACAAAAGCTGATACAGGTCTGTATGGTGAGCTTGTTGGATGTTTTACTGGTGCCAGTGAGAGGAGGTGGGTTTCCATGATCCTTGTAGCAGCCAAGGTTTCCAGGCACTAGAGACAAACAAAACAAAAGAATTTCATAACATCTGGCTGGAAACCTAAGAAGGAGATTCAGTTTGTGCCAGGTGTGCTTGTCCCACAGTGTTTACAGCCCTGAGGGACAACCCAAGCAAACGACAACAAGCTCTAAAACGGACCCTCTGGTGCTGTTCTCTGCCAAAAGCCACACCATCTGTGAGAAAGTGTCACCTGTAGGTCCCTGTTTAGCAACCTGGAGAGGTTTATTTTACTTTATCAATGTTGGTAGAATCTGGTACTGAAGAGAACTATGGAGGATCTCTTAGGATGGAGAAGGTGGCTTTGCTTTTGGTACATGGCAGCCATCTCCTAGTAATTCACCAAAATGGCAGACATAGAAGGAAAGAGCAGAGGATCCTGCTGTATACGTTCTCTAGGCTTGTAGGAAACATGGAGGTGTTCCTTTGGCCACATACATGCAAATCTACAAGGAGGGTGATATTGTAGACACCAAGGTTATGGACACTGTTCAAAAAATAATGACCATAAGTGTTTCTATGGCAAAACTGGAAGCATCTATGCCACTCAGGAGGCCACGGGCATCATTATAAAGAAGCAGGTGAAGGGCAAGGTTCTTGCCAAGAGAAGTAATGTGCACATTGAACACTGAACAGGTTAGGCACCAAGAGCTGAGCCAGCTTCCTGAAACTAGTGAAGAAAAACAATCAGAAGAAAGGAAGCCCGGGGAAGGCACCTGTGCTCAGCTGGAGCCGAGAGCACGCTTCGTGGGAACTAACGGGAAGGAGCCTATGCTGCCTGCCGGAACTGCTCTCTATGAATTCACAGCATAACGTAACGCACAGGAGAGTGAAAGCCCTGACTGTAAAAACAAAAAAAAACAGAGAAGTGGGCTGGCAAGGTGTTTCACGGGGAAAGGCGCTTTCTTGATGACCTCAGTTTGATCTCTGGAACCCACATGGCAGAGAGAACCAATTCCCAAAAGTTGTTCTCTGGCCTTCACACGTGTGCTGTAGCATGTTTCTCCTCCCTCTTGCCCCCTCCCCCCAAAAGAACAGTGAAGCAATCAGATCTAAGCTGTTCCACGGCTCCTGGAGGAGCAGGGTGGTAAGCCCAGGCACAGCACCCCCAGTGTTTGAGGTTAAAGCAGAGATGGTAAATTTGAGGGCAGTCTGGGCTACACAATGCATTTAGACTTTGTTTCAAAAGTCAACAAACAAACAAGTAAAAAACAAAGGGTCTGGAGAGATGGCTCCATGGTTAAGAGCACTGGCTCTTCTCCCAGAGGACCCATGTTGGATTCCCAGCATCCAAAATGGTGGCTCAAGACAACCTGTAACTCCAATTCCAGGCGATCCAGATGTCCTCTTCTGGCCTCTGCAGGCACCAGGCATGCCCACAGTGCACATACATACACACAGAGACACAACCAAACAACCCCAAACTCCCCAAAGGAACCTAAATTAGCATAGTACAGAGAGATGTATATCCATGTTTACTGTGGAATCAACCTAGATGACCATCAACAAATGAATGAACTAAAAAATGTGATTCACAAACAATGGAGTTTTATTCAACGACAAAGGAAAAAATTATAGCTGGGCATGATGGTATATACCTTTAATTCCTGCATTCAGAAGGCAGAGGCTGGAGGAGCTCTGTGAATTCAAGGCCAGTCTGGTCTACATAGTGAGTTCCAGGATAGCCAGGGCTGCACAGAGAAACCCCCACTCAAAAAAACAAACAAACAAACAAACAAACAAAATTATTCAGCTGCACATATGAACTCCCATTAATTGTGAAAGCAAGCACAAGCCCTGTGCAAACTCAAGCCAGACCAAATCCCAGCATGGAGAAGGGGGCAGACATGAGGTCCCACTTCCAGCTGCTGAGTTATTGGCAACTGACAGCTACTGGGGGAGGGAGCGTGTGGCCCCTGGTAGTTTGAACACACTCCAGTGGAAGACCACATATCCATGAACAGATGGGCAGCATGAACTGGACTTGATGAGAAGAAAAAGCAAAAGAGAAAGAGCACAAAACTGGGGGAGGGAAGGGGTGACACGGGAGGAGCTTGAGAAGGGGTGAATATGGTTTAAAATGTATGAAATCTTCAAAAAACTAATAATAATAAAAACAAAATCATAGCGTGTAGCAGTGTGTAGGCCAGAGGACTACCTTGGGTGTTGTTCCTCAGGTGCCTCTCACCAGTCTGGAACTGACCAAGCAGGCCAGGCTGGCTGGCCAGTGAGTGCTAGGGGTCCACCTGTCTGCCTTGTCAGCACTGAGAGAGACAGGCATGGTGCACTATGAACAGCTTTTAAAAAATATTTATTTTTATTTTTAAGTATATGCGTGTATGTGTGAGTTTATGTGCACCACATACACCTGCAGAGGCCATGTATTTCTTAGAAAAGAAATTACAAGGGATTGGGAGCCCCCAGATATGGGTGCTGGGAATCAAATCTGGGTCCTCTGTAAGAGCAGTAAGTGATTGAAACTGCCATCTCTCCAGCCCCAAGGCCTGGCTTTTTTTTTTACTTGGGTTCTGGGAGGTCAAACTCAGGTTCTATGACTAAGCAACCTCCACATTTTATATACATATATGTAAAAGTGGGGGGGGCTTTCGGGAGGAGGAAGCGGACCAGCTGGAGGTAGACACAGGAGAGGAAGGAGAGTATATGGGGAGTCAAAACGGCCCAAGTACATGAGATGCTTGAGTCAAGTATATGAAAGCACTTGAATTGCAACATCTTTTTGAATCCTATAATGCTACAAAAAATAAAACAAACAAACACAATGTTTCAGTCACTAGAGGGCAAACAAAACCCTCAGAAACCCCCACCTTCACCTTGTACTTAAACCTCTGTTCTTTAAAACAGTGAATGGGTTTCCCCAAGTCTTCTAGTGAAGACTGGGCTTTCTCATTACTGCAGGAACAAATGAAAACACACCTGCTGTCTCCCAACAGTATTTATTACCGTTCATTTCCGGTGGGCCAGAAGAACCAAGCAGGGTTAAGAGCCAAAATGAAGGACTCAGCAGAGCTGAGACAAACTTGAAGGATTCTAAGACGCAGCCCACACTCTTCAGTTATGGCCACACTGCTACCGGTTCCTCATTTCTTCCCTCCCTGGCTTCCACTGTCCTGTGGAGGCTCTCTGACTCATATCTTCCTGTAAATGCGTTGGACCCACATGGATAATCCAGGATAATCTCTCCTTCCCAAGTCTTTAGCCACACTTGCAAAGTCTCCTGCCATTTAAGGTCACATTCTCATAGTGGGATTATAAAGTCTATCTTTGGGGTCATTATTCAGCCTACCACAGAGAGCATATTAATTTTTACAGCCACATGCTAGATTGTTTGGCACAGTGAGGCAAGAGGAACATAAATATGGGTACCAACCATGGGAGCTGGCTTTCACATAGCCTCAGGGATCTGCTATGGACTGAATACTTGTACACCACTGTGATGTAATAAGAACTACACTTGGTTTCTACCCACTTCCTGCCATTCCTCTAAGCCTCAAGACTCTGGATGACTCCTTTCTAATGAGGCACCTTGTGGTGGGCTCCTGGTTAGCCTCACGGTGGGGGTGAACACCAGGAAGACAAGCCACAGTTAGTAACTTGAAACTTTCAGTCCCACTCCCCATCTTCCAGGGAAGAGAAAAGGGTAAAGATGGAGTCAATACTTGACTGTGCCTACCTGATAAAGCCTCTGTTACAAACCACTAGAGATGGAGTCCAGGGAGTTTCTGGGGCAATTAACATCTCCATGCTGTGAAATGGCACACTCCACAGGGACACATGCTCTACGGCTCAGAACCTTCTGGACCCTAAACCTACAAACATCTTCAACATCTTCAACCTATCACATCATTTCTGACACACCAGAGAATGTGTTCCTCAAGTTCTGAGAGCTCTTACAGCAGATTACCAAACCTGAGGAGGAAGTCTTAGAAAGCTTTGCTTTGTAGACAAGCCTAGAGACTCACAACTTGCGACTGGCATCTGAAGCAGGGTGTGGTCCTGCAGGGCCAAGCCATGGCACTGGTATTCAGAGGCATGACAGAATTGTAAGCCATCCTGTTGGCGTCTGGAGAGTTGCAGGATTGGCTGGGAAAAACTCACCCATCTGGTATCAGAGTAAAGTCTGTGGAAATATAGGAAAACGATTGGTTTTCTTTCTTTTATCCCCAATTCACATGCTGAAGTCTGAATAAACAGTGGGAATGGACTAGGAGTGAGGCCTCCAGGAGGTAATTAGATGAAGTCAGGAAGAGTGAGCTCCCACAGTGGGATAAGAAGAGGAGACAAGAGCCCATTCTTTCTCTGCCATGTGAGTACTCATCAGAAACACAGCCATCAACAAGCCAGAAAGAGCGGCCGCACGGCACACTGAAGACACCAGCATGTTAACTCTGGATTTCCAGCCCACTATGTCAATGAAGCTGACTGGGCCTGAGCAATTTTATTTAAAAAAATTACACTACTGCAGGGCATTTTAGCACTTTAATCCCAGCATTCAGGAGGCAGAAGCAGGTGCATCTCTGTGAGTTCAAGGCCACCCTGGCCTACATAATGAATGAATTCCAGGCCAGCTAGGGTTACATAGCGAGACCCTGTCTCTCCCAACCTCCATGTGCACCAAATAAAAAAAGACACATTGCCTAAAACAGATCCCTGTCCCTGAAGTTCATGCTCTATGAAGGCCACCCTAGTGTTTACACCTTTTTTTGAGACAAGGTCTCAATAATGCCCTGGCAGACATTAAGCTTTTGAAGATTATAAGTACGCAAAAAGGCCGACGCAAAGGCCTGTGGCAAAGCACTGAGGGTGGGCTGGACTCCAGCCCACAGCACACATAAAACTATATCTTGTTCAGAGCCGTGTGAGCCGGACAGTGGCTCTTCCTGTCTTCACATGAGACACTCCAGCCCTGGCAACAGCTTGACTGCAGCTCTTTAAGAGATTAAGTCAGACTAGATTTCTAACTCACAGAATGTGTGA